CACTCGGCTGCTGCCCTCGCCAACTGCGCGCTGCCGTCTCATTAGACACATATTGGGCCGAAAGGAGACATGGATGACATCTACACAGCGAGGAATTCATGGCCCGTGGTGTGTCCTGTCATTAGTCCTCCAAATTCTTACGTTTGAGTTGGTGCTAAAACTGACCAAGTTGGACGTTGTCCTGTCGCTGGCTTGAAGGAGCCCGGCTCCTTGGTTCTCAGGTCCTCGGAGCTCCTCTTCCGCGGTGTCTCCTCATACATCCTTGGCCTCCTGTCCTGCCATCGCTATGGCCCTGTGCTAGGCTTGCTCCAGTTAGTGAACATCTCTCTTACTGTTAGTATCCCAAACTGGACACCGAGCACTGGGTAGGGCTTTCACCTAATTATTGACTTACAGTCAGTTTCCTCCCCATGACCCCCTTGTTCCTCCCCTTGTTCCCCCTTTCCATAAACATTATTTTTTTTTTAGAATCTGATTTCTTTTCAACCCATTCTCCAGGCATCTCTCCTTTCAGATCTTTGATGGTCATTGACAAACCTATGGACTTTCTTTGGCCTCCTAACTTTGCGGAGGAGCAGATCATGAAGGTACCTGGCTATCTGGCTGTCTACTGTCTGTCAGCAGCAAGGATCAGTAGCAGCAGGCCATGCCAGAGGCACAAACTAGTGAAAAATACTATTACTCTTAAAAAATATTGCCCTCTAATATAACAGTGTTAATATGAAGAGATTTCTGGATGCAGCTCCTGAAGGTACTTCTGCTCTCAGAAGTTCCTCAGTGTGGTTCTGCAGATTCCTAGGTATTCCTGGCAAAGGCTCCGTCTCTGGGATGGAGTTCAAAAAACCTAATGCTGCTTCTAGTTAATGCTGCTGTGTTGTTTTATTTTTTTTTTTCCACGTTATTTCATCTAAAGGAACTCAGACTGCTTAATATGAGTCTGAATTCGCTTCTGGACAATGTCCCTCTAGCTTACGGCTGCCAGGAGCTTGGGTGGACTCTCTGCTGTCATGTATGGCGATGGAGAAGGCTCTGCCAGCATCCCTGCTCCCCTCGGTCTCTCCAGGCTATGGCCTTGCTCTGCTCCATGCATTCTCCACTGGATGACATGGAGATGACCACGTAGCTCAGGTCCTGTACTGAAACAGGATGGGATTTTACCAGAATTGGGGCCAGTTTTGCGTGCTGAATACGTTAGTATCAGTGTGCATCTCCTAAAGCCGTAACCGTGGGGCTTTCTTCCTCGTCAAGCGATAGCTCCAAGCTGCCCTGGGCTGGATCCCTCGGGAAGCTCCGGGCCTTGCTCGGCTCTCGAGCCTTTCCCCTCATCCCTGGTGACAGGGTGWGGGAATGGCGGGTGTATTTGTCGTAACGCGTACGCAGGAGGGGCTGGCTCGTCCAAGGCGAGCGTTTCTGGCCCCTCGTGTGTCAGCCGCAGACRCTGGTCACCGCCGATCAACTCTCCTCGCGGCCTCCGAAGGCCACCGAGGAAGCTCCACTTTGGCGAAATGAAACCTTCTTTTTGGCGGCTGTTCGTTTTTATGTGGTAAAGTACTGGCGGTTTTTCTAGGCGCAGCTTAACCCCCACAGATATTCCTCCTCGGAAAACCGAGTCCGCGCTCTGGGCACTAACGTTCCCCCCCGGCTCGCGGCGGGCCGGTTTCTCCGGCCTGTTGTCCTGCGTTGCGCGCGGAGGGAAGTCGCGGCGCCCCCTTCTCCAGCTGCACTGGCCTCCCTGTTCTCTCCCTCCTCCTCCTCCTCCCTCTCCCTGCAGCGTCGCTGTCGCCGCCGTCCTCGCGGCCGCCAAGCTGACGTACGGGGTACGGGGCGGGCGGCGAGAGGCGGCCGGGGAAGACGTCGCTCGGGCGCCGCCGGTGAGCGGGGCCCCGCGCCGTGGGGCCGTGGCCAGGAGCTTCCCCAGGGAAAGGGCTCCTTTTGGGCTCAAAAGAGAGCAAAAAGGGTCGGCTCGGCTGCCCACAGCGACTCCAAAGGCAGCTCTTAATTTGAAGGAAGTTCGGCCGGGACGGGGGCGGAAAGCTGGGGCTGGGGGAGGGAGCGGAGCGACAGATTGGAAATGCATATTTTATCTATTTACTTGTTTACTTCATTGTGTTTTATCTGCAGTTTTTAAGATTAAGCTTTCAGACTTGTGGTTAGTCGCGAAACAAAAGCTGCCTGGGCTGGAAAGAGCTGGTGCAGCCTCAGTGGCCTGGCAACTTTTGTGTAAAACAACAAAAATACAGTGCTTGGAGTGGTCTGCTGTATATATGTGTTTGTGTGTGTGTATACACATATAGTGCATGTACACATATGTGATCGCATATATATTTATATATATAGAAAGAAAAGTGAATGCATATATAACATCCTCATACGGAAGCTCCGGGAGAGTGGGCTAGACGAGTGCACGGTGCGGTGGATCGAGGGCTGGCTGGATG